TCTCATTTGGGAAGTGGTTCATGAGGAGAAATCGCTCCTGCCTGTAGCATGAATGTGCACAGAGACACACACACACACATGCATGCTCTCGCACACAGACACACACACACACACACATTGTCTTATCTCAGAGCCCTACAGTCATCTCTGCATGGGCTGATCTTATCTGCTTTCACCAGGCTGCTTGGCCTTTCATCAGAGAACCAGATGTTGGATTGTCTTATCTCAGAGCCCTACAGTCATCTCTGCATGGGCTGATCTTATCTGCTTTCACCAGGCTGCTTGGCCTTTCATCAGAGAACCAGATGTTGGGTCTCTCTAGATCTGTGTGTGTTTGTGTGTGTGTGTGTGTGTGTGTGTGTGTGTGTGTGTTTGCAGCACTGTAAGGCTTGTTTTTGCTTTATCTGACAAGTAAAAAGGAAGCAAGCCAGTTATAAACATACTCATTTTTGTTTTTTTGCTATAATAAAATGAATGAAAAGCAAAACCGCTGTTGCATCATGTTCCGAAAGTGTGTGTGTTTTAAGAAATTAGTACTTTATTCAACAAGGAAACATAACATTGATCAAAAATGACAGAAAAGACATTTATGGTTACAAATAAAATTATATTTCAAACAAATGCTGTTCTTTGAACGTTCTATTAATCATAGAATCCTGAAAAAAAAGTATGTATTATGATTGCCACAAAAATATGAAGCAGCACAACTGTTTTCAACATTGATAATAATCAGAAATGTTTCTTGAGCAGCAAATCAACACATTAGAGTGATTTCTGAAGGATCATGCGACACTGAAGGCTGGAGTAATGATGCTGAAAAAATGTAAATGAAAATTAATTACATTTTTAAAATGTATTATATATAACATTGTTTTTTAACATAACATTTAAAAAACATTTAACATAACATAACATTATTACGTATAACATTTTTGTTACTAATTTTGTTTTTGGGGTAACAACTCAAGTGAAAACTACAATTTAATAGTTGTATAGAATAATAGAAAAATTGTAACAATAATGCCAATGCTTTTGTAATAAATTAATAAATTAAATTTATATTGAATATCATTACATATCATGAATGACAGCATCACGTAAGATGACATATCCAAGACCGTATGGTCTGGTTATCTAGCAAGATTATTCATTCATTCATTCATTCATTCATTCCGAAAGCTTTAAATTAAAGAAGAAAAAACATATATATTACAATGCCAAATTTTCCATTTGATAGTCACTTTTGGGCCTCGTTGTTTGTCAACTCTTTAGAACGAGGATCTGTTATATAAATGTGACTCTTACTGTATGCATGAAAATGACTCTTTATTATGTACCAAAACCCCTCAAGTACAGATCAGTTGAAACATGGTTGATGAGTTTTGCCAGTGTCAGTACTTTGAATGATCTGACTCCGTCTCTACAGTGTTGTGCGGTGTTAAGTAGATGTATCTGTTGATCTATCCTCAGCTGGAGACAGAGGACAACACTAGTTTAAAGATCATGGACGCTCTAGTGGGTCACCTGCATCAGATCCAGATCAGAGCTCAGGACGCCCTGATCAACCACAGCCAGTGGAGTGAATGGAGTCATGTGGTAGAGGCCCGGCCGTGGATCGCACACACACACACAGTTTTATAGGGACATTCCATAGACATAATGGTTTTTCTACTGTACAAACTGTATTTTCTAGCCCCTCACACAAAAACTACAGGCTTTTTTACATTTGCAAACCACTTAATTCTGTATGATTTATAAGCTGTTTTCCTCATGGGGGACAAAACATATCCCCACAAGGTCAAAAATGATTAAATTATTATAATGGTGATATTTGGTTCCCATAATGTAGGCAATACCAGGCACAAACACTCATTAACTCTCACTAACGAACATAACTAGTGTCAATTAAATATGCAGTCAGAGGCATTATGCACCAGTGGCATGATTTGACCAGAAAATCATATTTTTATTTTAATAGTTGTATGTAATGCAATGTTTATATGTGTAGAAATCTTAGAAAACATTTTTCAGTTTGTATTATAATTATGATGCATGCATTTTTTCATTGAGCTCATATTAATGAGATGGTAGCACTTTAGCTTAGGGACCAAATCTCACTATTAACTATTTGCTAATTATCGTGCATTTTACTAACATATTTGCTGTTTTTTAAAGCACATATTAATGTCTTATTCTGCATGACCATATTTTAGATCCATTAATCCACCACATACCTAAATTTAGCAACTACCTTACTAACTATTAATAAACAGCAAATTAGGAGTTTATTGAGGCAAAAGGTGTAGTTAATAATAGTTAGTTAATAGTGAGAATTGGTCTCTAAAGTGTGACCGTTGAGAGACTAGATGGAATATTTCAGTAAAGTTCCATTAGTTAACATTAGTTAATGCATTAACTAACATCATTAACAATGAGCCATACATTTATTGCAGTATTTATTAATCTTTGTTAATGTTAGTTAAGACAAAATACAACTTTCAAAATTACAAACTTACAAACTTACAAACTTCATTGTAAATGTTTGACTAATCAGTCTAATAATATACAACTTTTGATTTTAATAATTAATTAATAGTTAGTAAATGTTGACATTAACTAAGATTAATAAATGCTTTAGAAATATTTTGTTAGTTCATAGTAACTAGTGTAGTTAACTTGTGTTAACCTTATTGTAAAGATTAAATATTAAATTTTTTTAATATTCCAATTTTTCTACTTTTAAAAAATACATTTGTCACGCCACATGGCCGTTTAAAATAAACGAGTCTAGTGAAATCAACATCCATATACTAATTAATTGTTTAAAAGAGGCTTTCGGCGTTTCATTAACTTGTGATCCACACAACCAATCACAAATAAATGAATATAAATGTACAAATAATTTTTTTTTTGAGAAGTGCTTTAATGTGTTATATATTACCCATCATCCATCAGATCCTTCAGATAGCTAATGTAATAGGAGTAAATCAAATCGTGCACAGCTAGCATGATGCTTCAGGATATTGGACTGTGTTCTATGGCAGATATCTGATAAATCTAATAAAGGAAGATAATTATATTTGGATGTTGGCAACTCATGTTCAGAATGTTTTTTTTTTTTAATTGAATGAAACATGTCTTGTGGTTGAGTAGCACACAATGCACTACGATTCAGCCATCTGTTTACATCAGTTTTGCAGTACAATAAAAAAAAACTAGCAGCAGAATAATGTTTTGTCCAGCAAAATGCATGCTGTCCACTGAGGGAAAGTCAATGAAATGATGAGCTTTGGATCTTCAAGGGGAAAACAGTTGAGGAAAACTTATTCTGACTTTTGAGCAGAACTGGTCATGAATAATTCAGAGGTAGTATAAATATATATAATTATATTTGTTTTGCAATTTTAGAGCCATTGGAAGAGCCAACAGAGGAACCGATGGATTTTAGCTTTCCATTTTTCAACTTGTCATTTCCAGTGAGGACGACAGACAAGTCTCCAGGTATTTGCTTGCAATTTCATACTCCGTAAGTTGAAGGAATTCAACGAATTGTGTTCACACTGCAGCGTTGTTTCTCTGTTTGACAGTTTATCTTTCCACTGATAGTAAGTGAGAGGTTTTGGCAGGGATCGTTATACGCATAGATTAAACACAAAGTATCAAATGCTTTTGAGATCTTAGCCAGAGGTTTTTTTTTTTCTTCACTCCTAAGCGTTATCCAGATGGTTTGGTCTTGTTTGTGGTGGGCGGAGTTTTCCCCATCTTCTGGCTCTGGCCAATCAAAGCGTGCCTGTCTTCCCTAATGCAGTCATGTGGCAGACCAGCATGACTCAGTCTGCTCTTCATTAGCTAACTGTTTCCAGGCCGTTTATTTATAACCACTCATCTAGCATGTGAACACTCTGTACGATTGCAGGAGTCATATTTATCAGCTCAAGACTGGAATGAAGTTTATGTATTTGATTCATAAAGTACTCTAACAAAGAGCTTTTTTTTAAGAATGTGTGAAGGTACATTATGTAATGACTAAAAAAAAAAAAATCATATATTTTTGAGCTCTTCAGAGTAGCCAGCCTTTGCCTGGAATAACTGAAGCATAAAAGCTTTGCTCACACAAGAATGTCTTCATTTCTGGAGCACTATATGCTAACGATGGCAAAAATGAGGATGTTTATGATTGTAGGCAATTTTGAGGCAAACCAAAAATCTATTTAAATGAAATAACTTTTTATCACCTTAGGAAGTTAAAAAAAAAGGTGGACATATTATTATTTTAATTAATATTTCTTTCTCAAGGCTCATTTAATTTTTGTTTCTTTTTATGTCTTTTTTTAAACTAGTTTTAGAAATGCTATAACAGTAATCTCTCATTATGTATGTGTCATTATCTTTGTTTTATTTATTTTTGTTGTTTTGTTTCATTTTGTCTTGTTTTGTTTTATTTTGTTTTGTGTTGTTTTTCATTGTTTTTGTGTTTTATTTTTTCTTGTTGCATGTATTTTTGTTTTGTTTATTTGTTTTTTGATTATTTGTGTCGTATTTTTTGTGTTTGTTTTGTTTATTTGTGTTTTGTTTACATGTGTTTTGCGTTGTTTTGTTTGTGTTTTGTTTTATGTTATGTTTGTGTTGTTGTATTGTTTTGTTAATTTTGTTGTGTTTTATTTATTTGTGCTTTGTTGTGTTGTTTTTTTCTGTTGTTTGTGTTTTGTTTTGTGTTTTGTGCTGTTTTGTGTTGTGTTTTATATTTTGTGTTGTTTTTGGTTGTATTGTTTTGTGTTGTTGTATTGTTTTTTTTTGTTTATTTGTGTCATGTTGTTTTATTTATTTGTGTTGTGTTGTTTTTTTTCTGTTGTTTTATTTGTGTCTTGTTTTGTTTTTTGTGTTATGTTTATTTGTTTTTTATGTTGTGTTGTTTTGTGTTTGAATGTGTGCGCATTGTTTTGTGTTATGTTTATTTGTATTTTATGTTGTGTTGTTTTGTGTTTGAATGTGTGCGCATTGTTTTGTGTTATGTTTATTTGTATTTTATGTTGTGTTGTTTTGTGTTTGAATGTGTGCGCATTGTTTTGTGTTATGTTTATTTGTATTTTATGTTGTGTTGTTTTGTGTTTGAATGTGTGCGCATTGTTTTGTGTTATGTTTATTTGTATTTTATGTTGTGTTGTTTTGTGTTTGAATGTGTGCGCATTGTTTTGTGTTATGTTTATTTGTATTTTATGTTGTGTTGTTTTGTGTTTGAATGTGTGCGCATTGTTTTGTGTTATGTTTATTTGTATTTTATGTTGTGTTGTTTTGTGTTTGAATGTGTGCGCATTGTTTTGTGTTATGTTTATTTGTATTTTATGTTGTGTTGTTTTGTGTTTGAATGTGTGCGCATTGTTTTGTGTTATGTTTATTTGTATTTTATGTTGTGTTGTTTTGTGTTTGAATGTGTGCGCATTGTTTTGTGTTATGTTTATTTGTATTTTATGTTGTGTTGTTTTGTGTTTGAATGTGTGCGCATTGTTTTGTGTTATGTTTATTTGTATTTTATGTTGTGTTGTTTTGTGTTTGAATGTGTGCGCATTGTTTTGTGTTATGTTTATTTGTATTTTATGTTGTGTTGTTTTGTGTTTGAATGTGTGCGCATTGTTTTGTGTTATGTTTATTTGTATTTTATGTTGTGTTGTTTTGTGTTTGAATGTGTGCGCATTGTTTTGTGTTATGTTTATTTGTATTTTATGTTGTGTTGTTTTGTGTTTGAATGTGTGCGCATTGTTTTGTGTTATGTTTATTTGTATTTTATGTTGTGTTGTTTTGTGTTTGAATGTGTGCGCATTGTTTTGTGTTATGTTTATTTGTATTTTATGTTGTGTTGTTTTGTGTTTGAATGTGTGCGCATTGTTTTGTGTTATGTTTATTTGTATTTTATGTTGTGTTGTTTTGTGTTTGAATGTGTGCGCATTGTTTTGTGTTATGTTTATTTGTATTTTATGTTGTGTTGTTTTGTGTTTGAATGTGTGCGCATTGTTTTGTGTTATGTTTATTTGTATTTTATGTTGTGTTGTTTTGTGTTTGAATGTGTGCGCATTGTTTTGTGTTATGTTTATTTGTATTTTATGTTGTGTTGTTTTGTGTTTGAATGTGTGCGCATTGTTTTGTGTTATGTTTATTTGTATTTTATGTTGTGTTGTTTTGTGTTTGAATGTGTGCGCATTGTTTTGTGTTATGTTTATTTGTATTTTATGTTGTGTTGTTTTGTGTTTGAATGTGTGCGCATTGTTTTGTGTTATGTTTATTTGTATTTTATGTTGTGTTGTTTTGTGTTTGAATGTGTGCGCATTGTTTTGTGTTATGTTTATTTGTATTTTATGTTGTGTTGTTTTGTGTTTGAATGTGTGCGCATTGTTTTGTGTTATGTTTATTTGTATTTTATGTTGTGTTGTTTTGTGTTTGAATGTGTGCGCATTGTTTTGTGTTATGTTTATTTGTATTTTATGTTGTGTTGTTTTGTGTTTGAATGTGTGCGCATTGTTTTGTGTTATGTTTATTTGTATTTTATGTTGTGTTGTTTTGTGTTTGAATGTGTGCGCATTGTTTTGTGTTATGTTTATTTGTATTTTATGTTGTGTTGTTTTGTGTTTGAATGTGTGCGCATTGTTTTGTGTTATGTTTATTTGTATTTTATGTTGTGTTGTTTTGTGTTTGAATGTGTGCGCATTGTTTTGTGTTATGTTTATTTGTATTTTATGTTGTGTTGTTTTGTGTTTGAATGTGTGCGCATTGTTTTGTGTTATGTTTATTTGTATTTTATGTTGTGTTGTTTTGTGTTTGAATGTGTGCGCATTGTTTTGTGTTATGTTTATTTGTATTTTATGTTGTGTTGTTTTGTGTTTGAATGTGTGCGCATTGTTTTGTGTTATGTTTATTTGTATTTTATGTTGTGTTGTTTTGTGTTTGAATGTGTGCGCATTGTTTTGTGTTATGTTTATTTGTATTTTATGTTGTGTTGTTTTGTGTTTGAATGTGTGCGCATTGTTTTGTGTTATGTTTATTTGTATTTTATGTTGTGTTGTTTTGTGTTTGAATGTGTGCGCATTGTTTTGTGTTATGTTTATTTGTATTTTATGTTGTGTTGTTTTGTGTTTGAATGTGTGCGCATTGTTTTGTGTTATGTTTATTTGTATTTTATGTTGTGTTGTTTTGTGTTTGAATGTGTGCGCATTGTTTTGTGTTATGTTTATTTGTATTTTATGTTGTGTTGTTTTGTGTTTGAATGTGTGCGCATTGTTTTGTGTTATGTTTATTTGTATTTTATGTTGTGTTGTTTTGTGTTTGAATGTGTGCGCATTGTTTTGTGTTATGTTTATTTGTATTTTATGTTGTGTTGTTTTGTGTTTGAATGTGTGCGCATTGTTTTGTGTTATGTTTATTTGTATTTTATGTTGTGTTGTTTTGTGTTTGAATGTGTGCGCATTGTTTTGTGTTATGTTTATTTGTATTTTATGTTGTGTTGTTTTGTGTTTGAATGTGTGCGCATTGTTTTGTGTTATGTTTATTTGTATTTTATGTTGTGTTGTTTTGTGTTTGAATGTGTGCGCATTGTTTTGTGTTATGTTTATTTGTATTTTATGTTGTGTTGTTTTGTGTTTGAATGTGTGCGCATTGTTTTGTGTTATGTTTATTTGTATTTTATGTTGTGTTGTTTTGTGTTTGAATGTGTGCGCATTGTTTTGTGTTATGTTTATTTGTATTTTATGTTGTGTTGTTTTGTGTTTGAATGTGTGCGCATTGTTTTGTGTTATGTTTATTTGTATTTTATGTTGTGTTGTTTTGTGTTTGAATGTGTGCGCATTGTTTTGTGTTATGTTTATTTGTATTTTATGTTGTGTTGTTTTGTGTTTGAATGTGTGCGCATTGTTTTGTGTTATGTTTATTTGTATTTTATGTTGTGTTGTTTTGTGTTTGAATGTGTGCGCATTGTTTTGTGTTATGTTTATTTGTATTTTATGTTGTGTTGTTTTGTGTTTGAATGTGTGCGCATTGTTTTGTGTTATGTTTATTTGTATTTTATGTTGTGTTGTTTTGTGTTTGAATGTGTGCGCATTGTTTTGTGTTATGTTTATTTGTATTTTATGTTGTGTTGTTTTGTGTTTGAATGTGTGCGCATTGTTTTGTGTTATGTTTATTTGTATTTTATGTTGTGTTGTTTTGTGTTTGAATGTGTGCGCATTGTTTTGTGTTATGTTTATTTGTATTTTATGTTGTGTTGTTTTGTGTTTGAATGTGTGCGCATTGTTTTGTGTTATGTTTATTTGTATTTTATGTTGTGTTGTTTTGTGTTTGAATGTGTGCGCATTGTTTTGTGTTATGTTTATTTGTATTTTATGTTGTGTTGTTTTGTGTTTGAATGTGTGCGCATTGTTTTGTGTTATGTTTATTTGTATTTTATGTTGTGTTGTTTTGTGTTTGAATGTGTGCGCATTGTTTTGTGTTATGTTTATTTGTATTTTATGTTGTGTTGTTTTGTGTTTGAATGTGTGCGCATTGTTTTGTGTTATGTTTATTTGTATTTTATGTTGTGTTGTTTTGTGTTTGAATGTGTGCGCATTGTTTTGTGTTATGTTTATTTGTATTTTATGTTGTGTTGTTTTGTGTTTGAATGTGTGCGCATTGTTTTGTGTTATGTTTATTTGTATTTTATGTTGTGTTGTTTTGTGTTTGAATGTGTGCGCATTGTTTTGTGTTATGTTTATTTGTTTTTTATGTTGTGTTGTTTTGTGTTTGTATGTGTGCGCATTGCTTTGTGTTTCATTATGTTTTGTTTTTTTGTGTTTTGTTTTTGCCTCAGATTCATCATTTCACCAGAACGGAAGCCTCGGACTGTTGATTTTGTTGGGTCTGTTTGCAGCGGTCATGGTGTCTGTGTTATTAACCATCATCACACTTCTACGGTAAAAGTTGTGCTTCATTTACATTTATCCATATTTCATAACTAAATCCATACAAACAGTTTGCAACAATTAGACAGAGACATGAGATAGTATTTTATCTGATCTCTTAATTGTTCCCTTTATAGGGTCAGACAGAGAAAACATTATATTACAATTTTTATTTATTTTTTTTTTTTTTTACTCAGATGTGGGAGTTTATATCTTGCAATTCTGTTTATATCTCCCTATTCAAACTTTACAAAGTATCACATGTCAAAATTGTGAAAAGAAAGACAAAATTGACGCAGAATTGTGAGGAAAAAAAGTGAGAAGTGTGAATGAATGAATGAATGAATGAATATATATATATTTTTTTATTTATTTTTTTTTTTTTTAAATAAAACGGCATTCATGCTTCATAAGACATGAGGGTGGATAAATGATTATAAAATTTGTATTTTTGCATGAACTGTTCCAATGACTGGCTTTCTGACTTTTTTTCCCCTCACAATGCTACGTTTACATTCTCACAATTTTCTGTAAAAAATAAAAAAAAGAAGTAATTGTGAGTTTATCTCACAATTCCAACTTCTCAGAATTGAAGATATCTCACAATTCTTTTTTTTTCTTCAATTTTTCAAATATTTTTTTCTTTTTTTTCTCAGATATGAGTTTATATCTTGCAATTATGTTTATATCTCCCTATTCTAACTTTACAAAGTATCACATGTCAAAATTGTGAAAAAGAGACAAAATTGACGCAGAATTGTGAGGAAAAAAAGTCAGAAGTGTGAATGAATGAATTATTTTTTTTTCTTTCTTTTTTTTTTAATAAAACAGCTTTCATACTTCATAAGACATGAGGGTGGATAAATGATTATAACATTTGGAAGTAGACTTTAGTAGTAGTAGTAGTAGTAGTAGTATTTTATTACTTAGAAGTTTTAGGACAATATAAATATCATGTTCAAAGCAAATATAAAATATACAACAAATATACATATATACAACACACTATTGCTCAAAAGTTTGGATTTTTAATGTTTTTGAAAGAAGTCTCTTCTGCTCATCAAAGCTGTATTTATTTGAACAAAAATACAGTAAAATTGTGAAATATTATTACAATTTAAAATAACATTTCTATTTGAATATATTGTCAAATGTAAGTTATTGCTGTGATCAAAGCTGAATTTTCAGCATCATTACTCTTGACATGATCCTTCAAAAAATCATTCTAATATGCTGATTATTTTCAAAAACTGGTGTGCTGATAAATATTTTTGTGAAAACCACGATAAATCAAAACAACAGCATTTATTTGACTGAAATCTTTTGCAATGTTATAAAATGTCTTTACTGTCACTTTTGATAAATTGAATGCGTCCTTACTGAATAAAAAAATATGAATTTCATAAATAAATGTTAATAATAACAATAAATAAATATAAACTGACCCCAAAATGTTGAACTCTAGTTTTGTTTAAAAATGTTCACATTGTGTTTTGTTACAGAACCGTTGCGCTAAAAGAGTTTCATTTTGTTGTTGACCTCTAGATTTGAGAAGTTGGCCGTCTCCAGTTCGGCCCTCATAGGGCATCAGCATTACCCACAATCCACCTCTCCTCTCGGCCTCTCAGAGTCCCATGAACTGTGAACATGTACAGTCTCCAATGTAGCACAATGCAATGGAAAAAACACAAGGATTTCCTTCCTCCTTTACGCTTCTCCTTTCACAGCAAATTCTTGGGCAATGAAAAACATCTTTTTGTATTGCTCTTTTCCTTCCGATATTCCCTGCACTCCACTGGACTCCACTTCTGACACACGCTGTGCTGTGAAAAGGCATTTGGCCGGACACACGGGGCATTATAGACACTCTTTCACCTTTAGACAGCTGCTATCTTTGGAAGACAGAAGGTTGGCTGTCTCGGCGCTCCAGCGAAGGAAGCGTAGTCTTTCTGTGGAGAGACAAAGACTGCTTTGTCTTTCTTCCAGCGAGATTTCTTCTCAGAAAGCGGCGCTCAAAACAGGTGGACACATCTGCAGTTGATTGGCTTCGTCTGGTGAGTTCCCAGCCAGATGTGGCATCTAAAGCATCGCGTTCTCGCTAATAAACTCCCGTAAAAGGCATTTCATCATGACTTCAGCCTCGGAGTTCATGTCTTGACAGTAAACGCCAGTAAACTCGCTGCTTTCGGTGAGCTGGTGTTCAACAAATCAGGACTTCAATGCGATAAATGCGTTTCGTTTCTCTGGACTTTCTCGGCATTGAATGAAGACATGAATGTAAATCAGTCTTACAGTGTCACATGTATAAGGTGATTAAAGCTGATTGTTTCTATGTTGAAGCTAGTAGATATTCGCAATATGAAATTCTATTGAAGCTCATCTATAAAATGATATCGTTATACGTTTATGCAGTTATATTGTATGATAGTTTGTATACAGCATACTGTTCTGTTGTACATTGCTCTCCAGTGACATAAAGCTCGATGCATGCGTTTTTGTAATTCTTTGAAAATATATGATTTTATTGAATGATTTTAGTATGCATATCCTTCCTATAGGTACAAACAAACAAAAATAAGGAACGTTGTCCAAAGAAAGACATAAAGTGGTTAATGTCTGGAATATGTATCTATGGAAGCTTGTTTTTTTTATCCATGGGAAAATGGTAATTGTGACTTTTTTTTAATCTCGCAAATCTGTTTTTTTCTTTTTCTCGCAATTCTGACTTTTTTCCCCCTCACAATTCTACGTTTACATTTTCACAATTGTTTGTAAAAAATACAAAAATAAGTAATTGCGAGTTTATATCTCACAATTCCAACTTCTCAAAATTGAAGATATCTATTTTTTTCAAATTTTCGAGTTTATATGTTGCAATTCTGTTTATATCTCCCTATTCTAACTTTACAAAGTATCACGTCAAAATTGTGAAAAAAAGACAAAATTGCGAGATATAAACGCAGAATTGTTAGAATAAAAAGTCAGAAGTATGAATGAATGAATTATTTTTTTTTCTCTCCCTATCCAGTGGTAAGCTTCCATAGGTACCTTTTTTTATCCATTTTTTTTTTTTTATCAAATGTTTTTTTTTATATCACATTCTAAAAAACAAATTCCTATTCTGGCTTTTGCACCAAATGATATATTCATTTGGGGGTTTTTTTTGTTGATAACAGCAATTTTACATAAAGACCAAAAGTTTAACTAAAAAATAACTGGGTTTTTAGTTTTAGGATTTTTACAAAGATGTCACTGTGATTATTTCTTCTTGATAATTCTGATAATTCATTGAAGAGGTGTTTTTTGTACATTTCTTCGTGCATTTTTGCACCATTTGCTCATAACCTCTGCCGTTCGTGTGCCTTAACGTTTCACCAGCAAGATGATTTGTGTTTCAGTAGTATTCATAACGCACGTGGCCTATGAGATTGGTGCTCTGATAAATCTTCACTTTAAGATAGATTGTGATTGAACAGTGAATCATTTATGCATAAATCATTTTCCAATGTAAGAAAAGGGGTTTTGTTTTGTCTATACTCTTGGTTTATCCGGTCATATATTCTTCTGTCCCTGCTCTGATTAAAGCCGTCCTGCGTGTGAGAGTATGTGTTCATTTAGGCTGAAGTTTGGATCTGATTGACTTGATGATCAGCAACATCCAGTAAATCGCTGGATCTCAACTGGTTTTGTTTCAGGACTCTGTTAAATGGGACATCCAACACAATACTAACCCTCATGTTGTGTTCCCGTCATTTTGACCTGGAAAGGATTTTCCTTTTCCCAAAAATGCTACTTTAATGTTATTGCATTGGACTAAAACCTGCTGACTTTGCTCACACAAGATATAACAATTTCCTCCCCCCAAAAATTGATGATTCTGGTATTTATTTCCCACCCAAAATAAAAAAAAATGAACAGCCTACAAAAAATTGCTTATACATTTATTGTTATTTGATGTTATTGCCAAATATTGGATTACATTTTTTGTATACTTGTTTTCTTTCAATTCTCACAGTTTTGTATTTCTTTTTGCAAATGATTGCTTGTAGGCCTCATTGGTCTGAGCTTATGCATCAGCTTATGAGTGAATCAGTTTTTGAGTGAACATTGCCAAAATTATCCACAAATAAGTTTTTTTTTTTGGCTCAAAAACTGTGCATTAACCCAGATCAACGAGACCTATGATCAATCAAGCCTGTGCTGATTGAAAGAAAACAAATTGATAAAAAGGGGGAATCCAAAATTTGATAATAATATAGAATAATTTATAAGCAGTTGGTTGGCTGGGTTAGTAATTTATTAGTTTTAAATTTTTACTTTATTTTTACTTTGTGTTTTAAATGTATTTTATTTTATTTTTAACAGCATAAGGCCTTGATTGTAGAATAATTTATAAGTATTCAAAAAATCAGTAATTTAAGATACTTTTTTTTCTCAGTTTTAAATTTTTACTTTATTTTTACTTTGTATTTACTTTTTAATTTATTTTATTTTTAACAGCATAAGGCCTAAATTGTATAATAATTTATAAGGATTAAAAAAAATCAGTAATTTAAGATTATTTTTTCCCAGTTTTAATGATTGTAGAATAATTTATAAGTATTCAAAAAATCAGTAATTTAAGATAATTTTTTTTCTCAGTTTTAAATTTTTACTTTATTTTTACTTTGTATTTACTTTTTAATGTATTTTATTTTTAACAGCATAAGGCCTAAATTGTATAATAATTTTTAAGCATTAAAAAAAATCAGTAATTTAAGATTATTTTTTCCCAGTTTTAAATTTTTACTTTATTTTTACTATTTATTTTATTTTATTTTTAACAGCATAAGGCCTAAATTGTAGAATAATTTATAAGCATTTAAAAAAAAAAAAAAATCTGTAATTTAAGGTTCTTTTTTCCCCAGTTTAAAATTTTTACTTTATTTTTACTATTTATTTTATTATATTAATTGATTTTATTTTTAACAGCATAAGGCCTAAATTGTAGAATAATTTATAAGCATTTTAAAAAAAAAACAGTAATTTAAGGTTCTTTTTTCCCCAGTTTAAAATTTTTACTTTATTTTTACTATTTATTTTATTTTTTATTTATTTTATTTTTAACAGCATAAGGCCTAAATTGTGGAATAATTTATAAGCATTTAAAC